CCACCAAACAACAATGACGGCTGCAACCAAAAAATAGCCAGGCGTTGTGGCAGGCGCCTGTAGTCCCAGCTACTTGAGAGGCAGAGGCAGGAGAATCACTTGAGTCCAGGAGTTGGAGGTTTCTGTGAGCTGTGATGCCACAGCACTCTACCCAGGGTAACAGCTTGAGGCTCTGTCTCACAAAAATAAAAAAAAAAAAAGAAAATGCAATGGGAAGCCATTGAAAGGTGGTAAGCAGATGCCTTGATAATAGCTATTAAGGTAGGGAATGGACCTTATATTGAGAATGGAGGCGAGGAAAAATAGGGAGACCCAGAGACAGATGACAGTCATCAGGATGGTTGACCAAGAAGTCTGAGGATCCCAAGAGGGGCCTCTCTGGACAGCAGGAGTTGGAGATGTCCGGTAGGCTGAAGACCTGTCAGTGATGGGGCCCTAGAGTTCCAGGGAGGAAATGAAAGCATAGCCCTCCTCGTTATGCACGTTATGCACGTTTCCTTCTAGGAGTCCAAACCAGGGGCCGGGAAGTTTCAGCTTCCTGATTCTGGGGCCCTTTTGTGATGGAATTTGGAAGAAGAAAGTGTGGGACATGGCATTGGTGAGACCTACTTGCCCTGTTTTGGGTCATCCTTGCAGCCCTTCTCTAGAGCCAGCGCTGGGAATGAGATTTTCTGCTTCAGTTCAGAGTCACCTCTGCACTTTGAGGGAGGGAGGGGTGAGTGTGAACCCCCCAACCCCAGCCTCTGAGACAGGCACTCTGCCTCCTGCCCACCCCAAGTCCACCCACCAGGAATGAGTTCCTGAAAGGCAGGGCTTCCCCATCTCCACTGCACAGGGCCTCTGTGGGGGAAGCTGTGGAGAAGAGAACTCTGCCATGTGCTGCTGAATGGTGGCAGCTCCCCTACAGCTAAGGGCAGGGGCTTGAGAAGTGAGAGCAGAGGCGCTTCCCAACACATGGGGTAAGAGAGCTCTGGATTAAATTCCTGTCACATATCCAGGAAGCAACTACCCAGAGGGGTGGACGTGCTGCCTTCACCATCCCCTGCCCTGTACCCCCCTCCTGTCCATCCAGGACAAAGCTACAATCACGCTGTCCTTTACTCCACACCCACTCTGCTAAGGGTTGGACACGAACCATCTCAATGTTTACAGGAGGCATATTACCCGATTTTGCAGATGAGCAAAGATCTACACAATTCCTGAAATCTTGTCTGACTCCCAAATCAGAGCCCTAGGTCCCTAAACTGCCTCTTTCTGGCAAACAGCCTGGAGCAGGTTAGGATTGAAAGATATGAATAGATGGATGGACGGGTATATAAAAACATGCACGAATGGAAGGGCCTGTGGATGCATTGAAGGCGGGTTGGGGCCAAGGCTGACTCAGGTGTGGCCTCAGCCGGCGTCTCCAGGCCGCGCTCCCAGGAACCAGGCTGAAAAGAGGAAAGCCTTGGTCCCGGGAAGGGTCTGAGGAACGCCGGAAACGTCGCTGGTTGGTCCCCAGGGTCTCAAGCTGAGGCTTGAGCCCCGCCTCCGTCCATGCCCGGCGCCCCAAGCCCTAGTCTTTAGTAGGCGCTCCACAAAGGATCAGTGACGAATGGCTGGGTCTCTGCCAAGCATGTCCCACCCCGCGCCGCGTCCCCAATAGACTCAGCGGCCGTCCCGGGGTGCGCCGCTCTGCAACCTGCCTAATCTTCTGAGCTCAGGACCCGGCGGCACGAGGGAACGCCCCGGGCGGGTCCAGAACGGGGCGGGCCCGCGGGTCCGGGGCGGGGCCAGCGAGGGGCGGGACCAGAGAGGGGCGGGGCCGCCGCGCGCGGTCCGCGGTCAGCTCCGGGAAACTCAGGCTCCCAGCGTCGCGCGAGCAGGGACACTGTCCGGGGCGCGAATGCTGGAAGTTCACATCCCGTCGGTGGGACCCGAGGCCCAAGGGCCCAGGCAGAACCCAGAGAAAGGCCATATGGTGAGCGGGGCCGCTGACTGGGGAGGGACCCGGGGACTTGCAAGATTTCTCCCCGCGGAGCTCAATGGGACACTGCACCCGGGGCTGGGACCTCTGAGCGCGGCGGGCTGGACCGTCGAGGGACAGCTTGTCGAGGGTTTTAGGGCCTCGTTGTGCCGGCGCCGCGCACCATAGTTCAGGCTCTTGAGGGACCACATGGAGCAGAAGGGCGAGTCAGCCAGCCCTTTCTCCAGGTGCGCGGGGAGCGCGGGAGGGTCTCCGGGGAGAACAGCGTAGCAAGGCTGCTTTGCGCCTAGGAGGGTAGCTGCTTCGCTGCGCGCGGGTCTTGTCGTGTCCTCCCGCCGGGCCTCACGCGTACTCCGGCCCCTGCCCGCGCCCGCCAGGTGTTCCGAGTGGAGGTGCTGTGCAGCGGGCGCAGACACGCCGTGCTGAGGCGCTACAGCGAGTTCCACGCGCTGCACAAGCGGGTGAGGAGGCGCCGACGACCGCCTGACCCCAGCACATCCCCTGCCCGGCCCCAGGTGGGGCGGGAGGGCGAACTCTGGCCCCAGCCCAGGCCCCTCACTGCCCCCCCACCGTTACTACCTCATGCCCTGGAGTGCAGCAGGTTCTGGGCAGACTCCGGCGGGTTGTGGGGTCCATCGCAGGGAGGGCGGGTCCTGGGCGGCACCCCCCCGCCTCCCCGGCTTCTGGGGATAGGTTGGGAAAACCACTGGTCCTTGTCCTGAACACCACTCACCAGGGTCTGTTCCAGGATAGAGCCGGAACGGGAGATTGAGAGGGCTGTTGGCTAGGGTGAAGTGGGCTTGGATGAGTGGGGATGCTGTCGTCACACCGTGGTAACCTCCAGCAGCTCAAGAAACTGTACAAAGTGCCCGACTTCCCCTCGAAGCGCCTGCCCAACTGGAGGACCAGAGGATTGGAGCAGCGCCGGCAGGGCTTGGAGGCCTATATCCAGGTGGGTGGGGGGACACATTCTGTTGCCCGCAGCTTGCTGTACCAGGGGTGTGACCCAGATAGGTATGGAGCATACGCGGACCAAAAACTTGGGGATGATATTATCATCAGACGTCCTTTTTCTGAACAGTAATGCGTCCAAACATCCCTCTCTGAATTATTGAAAGGATTGAATGAGGTAACAGGAAGGCAAGCAGTCCCAGCCCAATGAAAGCTAATTCTGTTCCCCTCCAAGGTGAGGTCCTGTGTGTGCTGCCATGATGGGATGTAGGGGTGTCCTTCCCTGGACCAGCAGAGCCAGGCCACTTCACGGGGTACAAACTGTGCAATCACACAGGATCCAGGCTCAGAAGGGCCCTGAACTTGGTTTAATTATCTGCTGTCTTCAAATTAATTACTTTGACACAAAAGGTTCTGCATTTTCATTTACTTTGGGCTGTGCAAATTAGTAGCTAGATCTGATGTTGGGTTTCCTCTTCTCTCCAGGGCGTTCTATACTTGAACCAGGATGTACCCAAGGAGTTGCTGGAATTCTTGAGACTTCGGCACTTCCCTACAGACCCTAAGGCTGACAGTTGGGGGTAAGGGTGTGGGGGGGGGGCGGGGGACAGGGACTCTCAGCAGCAAGCTGGTGAAGAAAGGTTTTGGAGGCAAAGCCCTTTTCCAGTTCACATCTGCCAGGCCCTAGTTCTCACTGCTTCTGAGATATGACAGCAGCTGTCAGCTGCTTCCCTGTCAGCTTTCCTGAGCCAGGTAGAGGGGAGTGGCTAGTTTTTATTTATTATTTTTTGGACAGCTTCGGTTACCCCAGCTACCTCCGGAACTAGGCTTGTTAGAAATAGAAGCAGTGGTCTCCTGGGAGGACATGTTTAGGGCTTTTGTGTCTCCACCCCTTCCTCACGCTTTGCGGGCATCCCCAAGCAGCTGACAGTGTCTCTCTTCTTTTCAGCACCCTGGGGGAGTTCCTGCCTGGCGACAGCAGGCAAGTCAAAAGTCCTGGCCTGTGCGCGGCTCCTGCTGCCCCCTAGTGGCCGTGTGCTAGGAGGCAGGCCTGCTTCCGCTGGCCAATCTTGTCTGCCCCTGTGGCCTATTCTGTTGGTGCCTCCTGAATCCACCTCTTGTTCACCCTTTCCTTTGTGGGTCCATGGTGACCTCCATCTCTAGTTTCTCTCTTCCATGGTTCATGACTGTCTTTTCTTCCAGCTCACAGCTGCACCACCGGCCTGTCCTGAGCTTCTGCATGGACCCCTACATTTGCACCCCCTCCCCAGGTGAGGAGGTACCTCTGACTGGAACCCAAATTTAGGGCTTAGGTACCAGGGTGGTGAGGGGGAACTTGCCATTTCACAGTTCCCAGGATCCCCGGGCTGCTAGCACAGCTCACCTGCTGTCCTTTGAGGCCACCAGCTGCTGTTCCGGTGCCCCTGTGGCCTGCTTTGGAGACACATGAAGCTAGGCTCCCCTGGTCTTCATTCCTCAGCAGTGTGGCTTTACACAGCTGATGTAAACAGAATGTGACCTGGGAGTGCAAAGACCTCATTTGGGGTGGAAAGCTGTTATCTGCTGCCTTGGCAGGGGCTCCTACTCCTAAGGGGTGCTGAGCTCATGAGCAGCCTGGGGAGCTACAGGCCTGGGGTCAGACCTGTCCCCAACTCCTTTCCCTGCAGCCCTCAACTCCTTCCTCCCGTTTACTTTGTCCCACAGAACTTCTGCCCAATGTGGTGGTAAATGGTGTGCTCCAGGGCCTCTACAGCTTCACTGTCAGCCCAGCTGAAGACCAGCCAAATGCTGCCAGTCACCCTGCTCCTCTGCCACCAATGCCCTGAGCAGCCCAGAGGCCGTTGGCCACGTTCCAGGACAGTCATGTGCCTCAGTCCTATGGGCTCCATATAAGGCTAGGTCCTCCTTTGGCCTGGACCTAGAACTTAAACCACACAAGGTGCAGTTGTGCCTTAACCCCACTCAAGGCTTAGAACTCAACTTGCACTGGTAGCCAGGGTTAGTAGGATTTGTGTTGATAGAGCCCAAGGGCCAAGGCAAGGCCAAGATGAGGAGAGGAAGAAGTCAATTTAGAGGTAGGCTATGAAGAGGTATAGGTATATTTCTTAATGAAGATAAAGTAGTGGCAGTGGGGGAATGAAAGTTGAGGCACAGAAGCTGGCCCCCTTTAGAAGCAAGGAGCAAAAAGATCCTTTTTGTGGGTCAACACCTGGGCCCAAGGTTTCAGGTAGAGCCCAGGGAAGGGGCAGGCATATTGGGATGCAGACTTTGAGAAGGTGCTACAGGCTCAAGAGCTTAGCCCACACGCAAATTATAAAAAAAAAACCCTTTTTTATTGGTCAGTGTTGGCAGGAATTTGTTACAAAATTGGGCCCGTGGACTTGTGGAATGTGAGGGAAGTGGGTCCGCTCTGTCACAAGATGCCAGCTTTAGGGCCAGGGCACAGAGATCCCTGTGGTAGACTCTTCACCCCCACGACAGCAACAGGGCCTGCAGAGACTGCTGCTCAAATGGAAGGGTCCCTGCAGCTCTACTCCTTGGCAATGGCAAAGGGCTTCTCCACCTCAATCTTGCCACAGTCTGCAATGATCACATCCTTTAGGGGCTTGTCACGACCATCTGTCTTGGTGTTCTCCACCTTCCGTACCACATCCTAGGAAGGCAAGGCAGGAGCAAGAGGGCACAGTGAGTTGGGATGTCTACCACTTAGAGGAGAGAGGCCCTGGCAGCTGGCTCAGGAGGGCTGAGTCCCATATGTGATCAATACCACACAAAACTTGAAGCACCAAAATCCTAATGGACTCATGGCGCGGGTGCTAAACCACGGCGGGGGAGAAGCAGATTTGACAAGATGATGCAGTAATTTTGTTCCTTGGAATAGGGTGGGCAAGGATAAGAAAGAAGAGGTTGGGGCAGCGCCTGTGGCTCAAAGGAGTTCAAACCCAGCCCCGGCCAAAAACTGCAAAAAAAAAAAAAGGAAGAGGTTGGCCACGGAGTGTGGTACGAAGTAGCTTCTTAGGGACATTTATGTTCAGCTGTACTCTGAACAACTCAGTGATGGGAGCCAGCACCTCATTAAGTGAATGATGGGACAGAGATTTCTGCAGTTGGTACAGCCTGAACAAGGCCTCCTGATTGGGCTCTGCTGGGGCCTGGGAGAATTTAGAACCTTGGGGGCACGGATAGGCTATTTATTCTGGATTTACTTCCAGGTTAAGTGACTGCTCTAAATTTCTGGGTTGGGTTCTTTTGGGAAAGGGATGAAATGTATGGAGCCCCTGCCCTAGGGTCTGTGTTAGATCCCCAGTGAGGACTGCCCAGGTTAGCTTCCACCTCTGGAACTCACCATGCCTTCTAGAACTTTGCCAAACACTACATGCTTGCCATCTAGCCAGGCTGTCTTGACTGTAGTGATAAAGAACTGGGAGCCGTTGGTGTCTTTGCCTGCGTTGGCCATGCTCACCCAGCCAGGCCCGTAGTGCTTCAGTTTGAAGTTCTCATCAGGGAAGCGTTCACCATAGATGCTCTTTCCTGGGGAGGCAGAGTAGGTCAGGGGAATGGGGTTAGCCCAAAACAAGCAGATGTTAAGGGTGTGGATTAAAGGGACTCAATCTATCCTCTGTGCCTCTGGGCTTGAGTGGAGTACAAAGACATAAAAGCTGTCCCCTTCCTAACCTCTGGCCTCAGAAATAAACCATACTGACACCAAGTAGGGCATATGGCTGGTTGATACAGTGAATAGCTTATGGCTTTGACATAAGGCACATATTATCAGTTACCCTTGGCTATGGCGTGAGGCCTGCCATGGAGGGACTTTAGTGGAGACAGATGTTATATAGGAGAGCCAAGAAGTAGGAACCCTCTAGAAAAGGACTGCTGGCTGAGTGCGGTGGCTCATGCCTATAATCCTAGCACTCTAGGAGGCAGAGGCAGGAAGATCTGTTGAGCTTAAGGTTTGAGACCAGCCTGAGCAAGAGAAAGCCTTCATCTCTACTAAAAACAGAAAAATTAGGGCCAGGCGCAGTGGCTCATGCCTATAATCCTAGTACTCTGGGAGGCCAAAGTGGTGGATTGCCTGAGACCAGCCTGAGCCAGGCAAGACCCCATCTCTAAAAATAGCCAGGCACTGTGGCGGGAGCCTGTAGTCCCAGCTACTTGGGAGGCTGAGGCAGGAGGATTGTTTGAACTTAAGAGTTTGAGGTTGCTGTGAGCTAGGCTGATGCCACGGCACTCATTCTGGTCTGGGCAACAGAGTGAGACTGTCTAGAACTGGAAAACAAAACAAGGGTGGCGCCTGTGGCTCAAAGGAGTAGGGCACCAGCTCCACATACTGGAGGTGGTGGGTTCAAACCTGGCCCTGGCCACAAACTGCAAAAAAAAAAAAAAAAAAGAAAAGAAAAACAAAACAAAACAGAAAAGGACTGCTGTGACTGAGCAGCTTAGCTTTCTAAGAGCACAAAAGACAGGGTCACAGATACAAACTGAAAGCAGCCAGAGGTGGGTGGGAAGGGGCAGGAAGAGGGTTACCATTTGGGTTCTGGAGAGTCAAAGCCTCTTATCAAGGAATGAACATAAAAGGCAGCTATGAATGTATGTAATGTGTCTGTCCATGTGGGGGCTGGGGACATGACAAAGGGAGCTGAGAGCAGATTTCTATGTCATTTCAGAGGTCCTAGTTCCAAAGCCGATTCCACAAAAAACACTGAAAAACTTTTCTTTTTCCTTGTTACCTCTTGGAGATTGACACTGGGCATTCCACCCTGAGAAACCCAGCAATAAAGAGGTCATTTTCATTTTGTTTACCCAATACTTTTCAAACTTATTTGCATGCAAAACCCCTTTTTCCTTCTCAATGCACCTAACTTCATCCTGTGGCTTAGGAAACTATCCCAGGCCAATGCTAACCAGAGAGATGTTTCTGATTGTGTAGTGGGTGGATTCCTGTCTCTGCTCATCCACACTTCAACAGTGGCTGACTTTACTGAGCATTCAATGCATGCCAGGCACTCAACACTCAAGATCTACGCTGATCCTCACAGCCCCATTCCTCTCCTCACCCCTGCTTTACAAAGAGGAAACTGAAGCTCCAAGAATGCACCTACTGAGGTCACAAAGAAGGTGGCAGACACTGGATCAAGCACAACTGTGCCTGTCCCTAGGCATATAGTTCTTTGTATTCTGTTTGTGCCTTTTAGTCCACTGTTGCCTTGTTCCATAGCTTTCAAGAGTTTTTTCTCCTTATTCTTCCCACCGAGATGATAAACAACTTGAGGATAGAGCCTGAATCCTAAAAGATGTATCACACTCCACTTGTAAGTTGTGAGGCATTAAGTGAAAGGAAGCTGCTGTCGCACTCATCTTTACAACTTCAACATGCAGTGCAGAGCCTAGCCCAGTAAATACTCATTTTTTTTTTTTTTTTTGAGATAGAGCCTCAAGCTGTCCCCCTGGATAGAGTGCTGTGGCATTACAGCTCACAGCAACCTCCAACTCCTGGGCTCAAGCGAGTCTCCTGCCTC